CAATCCATTTGTCCTTCAGTAGATAAATGGCTCAACAAACTGGCACATCCATACCATGGAATACTACCCTGCAATATGAAGGAACAAACTATTGATACACACAACAACTTAGATGGATCTCATGGGAAATGTGCGAGTAAAAAGAGCCAATTTCAAAAAGTTACATCCTATATGATATCACTTATATGACATTCTTGAATGACAAAATCACAGAGATGAGGAACAGAGTAGTGGCTGTCAAGAGTTAAGGAAGGAAAGCGTTTGGAAAGTGACCTTTAAATGGTAGCACAAAGAGTGTTTGTGAAGGAACTGTTCTGTATCTTGGCTGTGATGGTGGTCATACAGATCTACATGTGATAAAATTGCATAAAAACACGTGTACATGAGTGCATATAAAACTGATGATAAATGGAAAAGGTCAATGGACTGTATCAGTGTGAGTTTCCTGTGATGTGATATTACAGTTATGCAGGATGTTACCATTGGGGAAAAGTGGATGAGGAACATAGTGCGATCCATTGGTATTGTTTTGTGTGGTTTTTTTTTTTTAATGTTTATTTACTTTTTGAGAGACAATCAGAGCATGAGCAGGGGAGGGGCACAGAGAGAGAGAGGGAGAGAGAGAGAGAGAGGGAGAGAGGGAGGGAGACACAGAATCCGAAGCAGGCTCCAGGCTCTGCCCTATCCACACAGAGCCTCAAACTCAGGACCATGAGATCATGATGTAAGCTGAAGTTGGACGCTTAACTGACTGAGCCACCCAGGGGCCCCAGTCAGTATTGTTTCTTACAACCTAGTGTGAATCTATAATAATCTCCAAATTAAAAGTTTAAAAAAGGGGCACCTGGGTGGCGCAGTCGGTTAAGCGTCCGACTTCAGCCAGGTCACGATTTCGCGGTCCGTGAGTTCGAGCCCCGCGTCAGGCTCTGGGCTGATGGCTCAGAGCCTGGAGCCTGTTTCCGATTCTGTGTCTCCCTCTCTCTCTGCCCCTCCCCCGTTCATGCTCTGTCTCTCTCTGTCCCAAAAATAAATAAACGTTGAAAAAAAAATTTTTTTTTAAATAAAATTAAATAAATAAATAAATAAAAGTTTAAAAAAAAAAAAAAAAAAAAACAGGCATTGAGGCTGACTAGGAGAGTGTGAGCTTTTAGGTCAACAAAGCTGTGTTTAAATTCTGGCTCCCCCACTTACAACTGTGCAACTACATGCCAGTCCTTTAACCCTTCTGGGCCTTCATTTATTGTTTTCCTCCAGTTTTATTGAGATATAATTAAATTTAGCACTGTATTTATTTTAGGTGCACAGCATAATGATTTGATATATGTATGTACTGCAAAATGATTACCACAATAAATTTAGTTAACATCCCTCACCTCACAGAATTACAGTTTCTTTATTTTAAAAGTGGCTACAATAATACTACTTACCTCTTTGTGTTATTTTGAGAATTAACTGGCTCGGAATAGCCAGTCAGTATCTGATAGGTTTTTAAAACATTGTATATAGGGGCGCCTGGGTGGCACAGTCGGTTAAGCGTCCGACTTCAGCCAGGTCACGATCTCGCGGTCCGTGAGTTCGAGCCCCGCGTCGGGCTCTGGGCTGATGGCTCAGAGCCTGGAGCCTGTTTCCGATTCTGTGTCTCCCTCTCTCTCTGCCCCTCCCCCGTTCATGCTCTGTCTCTCTCTGTCCCAAAAATAAATAAAAAATGTTGAAAAAAAATTAAAAAAATAAATAAAACATTGTATATAAAAGCCACTCATCATTTACATTGGATCATAAAAATAGTCTGTATTTTCATCTAGCACTTAAAGGGATACGCCTCTGCAGAATTTCATTATTATCAGGTATTCTCTATTTCATTCAATTCTGCTCATGTCTTTATTTCTTTCTACTTTTATGGGATTAACTCTGTTCTTTTTCCTTCCTTAAACACTTACTAAATGTCTTTCTTCCTTTCTAATTTGTGTATTTGAAACTATAGATTTCCCTTTGATAACTGTTTTAGCCAAATCACAAAGTTTGTATTGACAGTCCAACATTTCATTGTCATTTAGTTATAAATGTAACTTTTTCTTTTTTGATCCAAGAATTATTTGAAAAATGTGCTTTTCAGTTTCCCAAACATTTGATAGGGGATCTTTATGGTCTTAATAATTCTTTGAGATATGTTAAGCTTCCTTTGTGGCTTAGCATGTGATCAGTATTTATAAATGTTTCTTATATGCTTGGAAAAGAATATATAGTTTTTGTTGAGTGTGGAATTTTGATTTTGTTAAATTGGTTTTCATATTTTCAGCATCCTTACTACATTTTCTTTCATCTGCGTGACCTCAATTCCTGCAGCGAAATGTCCCTCTGATTGTAGATGTCTCATTTTTCTCCTTACGATTCTACAGTTTCACTTCTTATATTTTGGGGTGTCTTGTTAGGTACAGCAGATCCAGAATTGTTAACGTTTTTCTGATGAATTGTTCATTTTATCCTAATGCATTGATTATCTTTCTGCATTTTACCTTAAACATATATTTGATCTGATAGTAATATAGCCATTTAGGCTCTCTTTCGGTTGGTGTTTGCATAGTTTATGTGCTGAGGATTTAGAATTCTCAGGGGATACATTTTTCTCCCCACCAGAGCCCAGGCTTTCTCCAGCAAGTGTCTTTGCTGTGTCTCCCAGAAGGCATTATCTTTTCAAGTCCATCCACTCACTAAAAGACTAGCTGCCCAAGTGTTCTAATCTATGTAAGGGCTCTCAATCCCAACCTCTTGCCACATGCAGACCTTAGGTTTCACCTTTTTCCATGAGGGCATCAAAACCCAAGCCTCCATTTTAATCTAGACTGGGTACTGTCCTTCCCCCCCTCCCTCTTACCCAAGTCCTGCCCCTGGCAACGACACTGTCAGCTCATGTGCTTACTGTAATTTTTGGTTTTCAGTTCTGGCCTCTGGGGATTTCTGTGAAAATTCAGCTATGTATTTTTTTAAATGTTACTTACATTTTCTTCAGCACTGGTAGGTGTTTGGAATGTGTTTGTGTGGAAGGGATGTCAAGGTTATCTATAAGGTCCAGCATGTTACTAGGACAGTTCTTATTAGGAATACTGATCTAGCCTGAAAATGGTACTGTGTTGTCTAATAATTACAGAAGACTGGATCTGTCCTTTCTGAGTCTTGATACTATATGAATTAAGTAAATGCGATGTTTGAGCAGATGCTGGATACCCTGGGAGGTAGCAACACATACAGAAATCTGCCACGTAGTTTTTGGTTCAGAGCCATTTTTAATTTAGGGGACCAAAAGATTGGTCTTTAAAACACTAAGGGTTTTTTTTTTTATATTTCAACTTATAAATTTGAGAACGTTTATAAACATGATATTAATGAATAACATTAAGATCTTATTGT